GTGTGTGTGTGTGTGTGTGTGTGTGTGTGTTGAGGGTGCTAGGGAATGAAACTACGGCCTTTGCACTGAAGTACCACCTCAGCCCCTTGCACTTCTTTATTTTTTTAAGACAGGATCTTGCTAAATCACTAAGTTGCCCAGTCTGGCTCCAAAATGTAATCTTCCTGCCCAAAGCCTCCCAGAGTTCTGGGATTACAGGGATGTATCACTATGTCTTGCCTAGATCTATTTTATCAGTGATTAAGCTTAGAATTTAATACTGATCATGGACAATCTATTAATTGGAATAAAAAGTTTTCTCATTTAGAAATGCCTGGGGAATTTAAAAAAGTTTTCTCCTAAAAATTACTAACTTAATGGTAGTTTAAAGGTTTCATGTGGGTCAAGTGTTGAAGTTATTGGCAACTCAGAGTAAAAAGAAAAATAACATCTAATCACAGATTATATTCCATGTGAATTCTGATTAGCCCCTATTCACTAGCTTTCTGCCATTATCTTGAAATACCATGGCTTCTATATGCCATAGAGATTTTCCTTCTGACACTGGAATATTATATTATTTGGGAATTAGGGCAAAAATATTTCTTACACAGATGCCAACTTGGAAACAGATGTATGAGGAAAAAAATGTTATGTAGGGAAACAAAAAACATAAGTGATTTATTCTCTAACTACATAATCACTTTTCAAAGAGCAACTTTCAAGGCAAAAACTTGTAAAAAATACAATTTCAGATAATATATATCCTAATTGGAAGGAAATTACTTTTTATGTTCAAGTTGACCACCTTTGAAGTTGCCAAAAGAAAACGATCTGATGGAAAATTAAAATTTAATTAAGTTGTGAAGCAATTCAATTTTAAGTGGATATATGGAAAAACATAGAATTATACACAAGAGAGCTAGCACAGCCAAGTGGTGAATCACCAGCCTCTAAATCAAGTATTTTTTCTTAATGGGAAATGAATTCTCCATGAATTCTAAGATACAAACAGAATTTCAAAATCTAGGTTTTATAGGATCTGAAGAGTTTTTGTATATTACAGAGAATTTCAGATTGATTGAGTTAAAAATAACCCAAATGGCACATGAAAAAGGTATTTTATCATCAAACATGACAGTGAATCCAATATACTTTATATTTTGTTTGACGTTGTGCATACAATGCTGGAGGTCTCAGAAACTTCAATTTGGTTAGGAAACAAAAGCAAAATGAATGTTCTCATTGGCAAATCACGTCAAAGCACTGAGCCATACTTCCTAGATTCAAATCTCAGCTCCTCTAAAAACTAGTATTGGGACCCTGGGCAAATTAAAGTTATGTAACATAAGAAATAGTAGAATAAGAGTACCTAACTCTCAGAGTCATTGGAAGAATTAAACAAATTAATACCAGTATGTCATGTAGAACATGTAAGTGCAGTTCTGACACAGGCTGAACACCTGCCATTGTTAGCTGCACTATTATTTGTTATTGTAGCATAACAAGACCAGTATAGATACGTGCCAAACCAGTATTCTCTTCTGCACTGGGGACCCTTGCTTGCATTAGAGACTTTACCTTTTGTCTTGGTTGGTTAGGAGCACAAACCACTACTGTGTTGCAAATCGCCAGTGCAATAAAAAAGTCCATAATGTACAAAGTCTCCAATGGTGGCCTTTGGATGGTCCCATCTAGTGAGGTAAAGAGATGAGGTGTAATCTGACTAAATTTGTTCAAAAGCCTGGTGTCTGGTACCACATCTGTTTCCTGAAGATTCAACAAGACAAAATGCTGTTATCACATGAGAGTTAATTTTTATAACCAAAATCTAAATAAAGCAATGAAAACAAGCTTACTGCATATAGCATAATGGGAATTAACAACAGGAAAATGCAAGATATGAAAATAAATAGAAAATCCAGACTATACATTATAAGTGGAGAATTCCTTCACTCTTAAACTAAACAGGAGATAACTTACAACAAAATCTAGTTGAATGCATATTTCTCATTTAAAAATACACAATGCTGGACATATATTTTATTATGCTTAGAATTTTGCCTTGGTTATAGACTCATTCAGTAATAATAAATACTAATTCTTTTTAAGTTAGCTTTTTACTTGTATTGCATTATTTTAACAAAATATTTTATTCCTGAATATACTGCTGTTGTAAAAACAAACTCTCTAAAATAGAAATAATTACAAGTAGGTTAACATATTTAAACTGCATTTCGCAATAATATCTCACAAGACATTAACAGTTTTCCAAGAGTTTTCTGGTCATATCTATGCCCTCCTCTTAAAGGTGCTTAGTAATGATTTGCTTCAAGAAGTTCTGTTATTATGAAAAAAGTATCAACATTTTGTTTAATGCAGTGCTTCCTACACTAATTTGGGAATGCTAGTTTTAACAAAAAAAAAATCGTAGAAGAAATGTGCTTAGAATCCTGTCACATATAATCAGCTGCTTTACAAATATTTAAAATGAATCAAAAGAGGGACTGTTTGTCATAACCCAGGTTTTACACAAGCACTGATCTATTTTAGAAGAGTTGGGATGCTGACTAATAAATCACACTGAATGTGGGAAACCAAGAGAAGTGATTTAGATAAAAGAGTAAAATACAGAAATGTGTGAACTTGACTTGGAAGTCCATGGCATACATTTATGCTTAGGAGTGCAGTGACCATATAGGTGTGATAAGAGCAAAGAGCATGTGCTAGAAATCATGGGTTTGGGTTCAGGTCTTATATCCTAACTGGTAGCCTCAAGCACTTAACCTTTTGAGCTTCATTTTCCTTGTCTATATAATGGTAAAAATAACACTTAACTCCCAGGGTTGCTGTCCAAGATACGTGAGATAATGCCTGAGATGACATCAGTAGAGCAGAACTTAAATAATCTAATCTTCTTTCCCTTCTTTCCTTCTTAAAGGACATGTACTCATCTACACTGGCTATCAGGCTCAGAGTGGGTCTAAACAGTTCATATTATCAGCTATCGCAAAGCATTCTTAAACTTCTATCTAAATACCTCAAGCAAATGAGTGTATGACTGAAAACCTATTCCCATAACCATGAGAATAATGAGAGTAAAAACAGCACTGAAGCTGGCCAAGTCATGTGCGTGTGTGTGTGTGTGTGTGTGTGCTCATGCATTTTACTCTGGTCAGCAAAAGTTTGTGGATAAGAACTGTCAAAATAGAGTGAGAAAAATCTAGAAACTCAGGACCATAGAAGAACCTGAAAGCACCATAAAACCATACACATAAAAGACTCCAGAAAAAGATTTAAGGAAAAGTTGGTATCAGAATGAAGCTACAGATAGGTAGCATTCCTCCACTTCAGTTGGTTTTTACACAATAATCTCTTGTGACTAAGACAGAGGCTGAATTGAGAAGGTAATAGAGTTATCACATGTAATTTTTATCAATATGACTATCTCCATTGATATTTTCTTATGATCCAAATCTGCACTGAGAAGCTGTATAATAAAATTAAAAGATGTTTCTTTTCCAGTGATGCACAGCTTCTGCCATCACTGAAGGCCCACTGAGTTGAGAATCAGGCCCACACTATCTTGCTTTAAATAACAACACATCTATCTAGTACTCCTCCCTCCCCCTTGGGAGCTTGGAAGTTCTTTTAAAGTGAGGACCATATCTTACTGATCTTTGGATCCCTAACTCAGGACCTGGGATAGGGATAAACAACTAAAGGTTATTGTTGTACATACTTGTTGGTGTTATATTCACCAAGGAAAGCAGTAGAGAAACATACTAAAAAATTGTTATTCTATAGAAAATAAACATTTAGGATTAAAATAGGCATCTTATTAAAATTCTAAGAAAATTTATATTCCCAATTTAAGCATAGAATGGTGAGTCCAATGGGGATAGTTCCTCAAAATGTAAACAAAACCTTATTTGGAGGACATACATCTTTTTCCTAATCTGTGATGACATCTGACCATTTCTAATATTAGGTTTACCTTCATGATTCATATTAAACTTGTCTCCTAGGTTATAGACTTCATCCTCAGTTTCCTTTCTTCCTTTTTTCCCTTCCTCTATTTCAATGCAAATTAAAGAAGTAAAACTGGCCAGGGCTTCCTTTGCTTTCCTACATTGTTCACGGAAGCTTTTGGATGGCTTTAAGATAATTTAAATAAATGTTTTTAAAACTGAAGTTGACAGGAACTCACTTTAATTGTTTATACAAAACCCAAAATACCTTCAGCTTAATACTGGACAAAGACACTACAGAAGGGAGATAAAGTTGAACAAGCAGCTCTAACACTGTCCTCTACTTCTCTTACATTTTACTTTTAGGTATCTCAGCTTGCTTTATGCTCTCAAACAGGTGTCCTTCACCTGGCTTCATGGATGGGCTTTTAGAATCATATGTGAAATTTCTACAGTTGCTCATTTTTTAGGTCAAAGATCATACAGCCATGCCATCTCAATCTTTAATTTCCACAAAGGATAAAATCAACTTGCCAAGACTAATAATAAGAGATGATCTCATGTTTCAAGGAAGACCTTTTAATCCTATATATATGAATGCCATTTTGCAAAACACAAAACAAAACTAGAACAACCACCCCAAGGCAGTGATACAATCCGAATGACACAGAGCTTTGGAGTATAGGGAAAGTAAAAATAAAACGGGCAGAAGGGAAAGGCTGAGCCTGTTAAACAGCTTCATTCAACAATCCTCAAAAATACTCTGAGAATGTGCCAGACACTGTGCTAAATGCTGGGCCTTCAAGATGACGATGTCCTTGTTCTTGAGGAGCTAACAGCCATACCAGATGCAGAAATGAGGCCATCATAATATAGACCAAGGGACAGAGGTAATGAGCAAACAGAACTTGGAGACTGAGAAAAGTAAATCTGAGAACACTTCAGAAAAGCTGATACTAAAGGCAGTTCTTACAGAAATAAATATTTCATCAGTTTTGGGTAACAGGGTGGGATTTAGCGAATATATTTTATACAAGGAAAATGGGATGAATAAAGGTGCTCGAAGATGTACTTGTGTGTCCCAGTAAGAGGAGGAGGCTTCATCAGGAACTACTGAGGAGGGTGTGGCACAGACTAGCCTGCCAGGCAACACCGTATTACTTCCAACTAAACAGGACTCAACATGTGCTTGCTTTCAGGCAGGTGGAAAATGTAAAAGTTCAGTAGAAAGATAGGTAAAAAATAACATATAAGAAATATACACATACACAGTATATTTCTAATATAGATTTAAAGTGAATGTAGAGAAAGGACTTGTGTATTCCTTCTTTCTTTTCAAAACTTGGAGAAAAATTAAGTCTAGATGTCTGAAACAGCTTACCATGTGGCACAGATACAATGTAATAGGCATTAGGCCCTAGTGCAGAGAGCTTTCAATGATACCAAAAGCCCACTGCCACACACGTGCCATAAGTTCGCTACCTCTCCCCTAGTGGCACGGTAATAAGTTGGACTGAGATAGTTACTCCAGTTGCTGTGACCACACATTTTTGGGCAAGCTTGCAAAGAGCAAGTAGATTTTCCTCTGGGCTGTCTCAGGTCCTGGGAGACCCCTAGGGTCTACTCACATTATGTATCACATTATGTACTATGAAAATCATACAATAACTTCAATACAGAAATACAAGGGTTCCCCAAAGCTGAGTTATTCTTGTTATGACACGTATTTTGGAGTTGTTGCTGATATCATGGCTGGAGAATCTTCATCTTAGTAAAGTATAAGCATAAATATAATGAGAAAGGCAAAATGAAGTTGAAATTTCATACAGTAATTTTAAGTGCTATGCAACTTTTAATTTCCAGTTCTTGTACATGGACATCTTCCCTCTATTTCTCATGTTCTACACAGCCCTCTATCTTTTTATGCAGTAAGTAAGGATTGTTAATGTATATGACTAGTCGGTTCCTAACACTGCCACTGGGACTCAAAACACATCCTGGTGAGGTCTGAAACGAAAAATTTAGAAAATGCCCTTTGGGCAACTAGGAATGGGGAAGAAGTCACAGATTTGGTGGCATTTGAAAGATGACTACAGAATAATGAAGAGATCTTTGAAAGGCCTATGAGTTTACCTATCCATTACACATATTTACCTGGCTCTGAAATAACTCTGGAAAGCTTTGTTGGCTCTGAGAGCTATGATCATTAAACCAGAGTAGCCTTCTTCAGGATCAGACATGATCTTTCCTGACTAGAAATACAATTTTTCAGAAATGATACATGACTTCTCAACATTGAATTATTTAAGAAACTAGAAAGTTGTGATTTTTGTCTGTTTACACGTATTATGTGTCACAATCATATGTCACATCTTATTATGTGTCACAGTCTCTTTTCCAGTAGAAAAGAAAAGAGTTTGGCTCCATTATAACTCTGAGGCTGTTCTTTCCTCATTTGTATGGACATACAAGAGCCTAGTCATGCAAACACTTACAATGGGGCTGCTGAAAGCAGCCTGTCTGGAATGAAACACTTCACCAGCTCCTTCTCCACTTCCTACAGCAGATGTGCTGCCAGAGAGATGATCTGAGAACTTGTTTCCCAGAGCCCCACTAGGGACTGTCCTGCAGCAGGGGGCTCTTGGTTTTGCCATGTTGCTGAGGGAGCTGCTGAGAGTGTCTGTATAATCTTCATCTTCAGAGACAGCTTCCTGATATGACTCCAGTCTCTTGGCTGAGGGATAAAAATCACACTGGGTCACATCTGAGAAGAACTTACAAGATGTATATGTCAGGCAGTTACTTCTACAGCTATGATATAGCCTATCCTCCCCCTTTCAAACATGGCCTTCAAATCCCCTATCCACATCCTTAGTTAACAAACTTAGCTCATGTCTTAAGTAGAAACAATCAGACAGGAATTTTCTTCTTATTCTTTCTTCAAATCTAATACCTTATCTGCATCTTTATCCACTCTCTGTCTTTTCTCTTACTAGTATGAAGAAAGCATCTGTCCTTGCTTCAAATGCCCAACCTTCTACTTGTGATCTGAATCTCACTCGTTAGATTCCTCAAGGTCTAAATCTTTGCAATTCTTCCTCTGATACTCACACCAGTCCTTCCTCAACCAGTTTCAGGACTTTCTGTCCCCATCTCTCTACTGACACTACTCTTGTAGAGGTCACCCATAAGTTCCATACTGCCAAATCCAGCCATCATATAGATCTGTTCTTATTTAATTTGAACCTTTAATATTATCCAACTGTGTTTACCATTCTTTCCTTCTTCAAATGTCCCTTTTGCATTCTTTGGTACCACATCCACCTATTTCCCCCTCCTACTTTGATGGCTGATGCTGCTTAGTCTATCCTGATAGCCTTCTTCTTCTTCTTTTTTTTTTGTTGGTACCGGGGATCAAGCTCAGGTCCTTACACTTGCCAGGCCGGTGGCAGAACCACTGAGCTAAACCCCCGGCCCCTGATATCCTTCTTCTAAGCCCTGATATGGAGAGCTGTGGAGCTTCTTCTCCACCTACACACTCTTCCTTAGTGATCTCAACTGTTTCATCTTTGAAATAGAGTCTCTGTCCACATGACCTCTAAACCTATACCTTCAACTCTGATTTCTCACCGGAATCCAGATGCATGCATTCAACTCTCCACCTGAAACAGCCACTTGGAAGTCTGCAAGGTTCTTCCACCAGATATTGGTATGGCTCATTCACTACTGTACCTGCTTTAAGTCTCTTACCCACTCTTGCCAGTGAAGACTTCTGAACTTCCCAGATCAGACCTCTCCAGTACTTTCTAGTACTTACCAGCATCTACACACTATATATATATATATAATATATAAAATATATATGATATATATATCATATATATAATATATATCATATATAATATATATCATATATAATATA